GAGGGAGCAGCGCGAGGAGCGCTGCAAGGCGGCGGCACGCTTTCCGCTTCTGCCGAAGGTGCCTCTGGTGTCTCCACCTCAACAGTCAATGGCGCAACTTCTGTCTGGGCTACATCGACTACGGGCTCCGCAGCAGTCCCTTTCTCGCTAACTCCGTTCATTTCGTTAATTGGATTAGTACTAGCAGTCACTGGAATATCACTAGATGCTACACTACTGGGCTCCTCGCACACCTCGGCATCTGCCTCTTCCGCCGGCAAAGGGTCCGACGCGTCCGCGCAGGGCGCGGCGTGAGATACAGGCGCAGCCTCCTCTTTCGGGGAAGAGAGTTCACATTTTTCCTCCGATTCAGCTGTGAATGTGGATTTACTAGAAACGGCGACGACGACAGCAGCAACAGAAGAAACAACCGCGACGGGAGCAGCCGGGGTCGGCGACGGAGCAAGAGGAAGTTCTAGTGGGGTTTCCACTGAGGTGGCCTCGGTCGTTTGGCCAGCTTGATCTTTTTTCTCCCCAGCAGGTTCTGGTCTGAGGACTGGAGAAGAAGGTTTTAATACTGGATCTGGTTTTGGCTTCTCTTCTGGGAAAGAAAGGAAAAAAAAAAAAGGCAATGTTACGAAGAGCAAGTCAACCCCGTTTTCCTTCGCTGTGTCCAACCCCGCCTGCGTTCTGCCGCTGTTCGGGAAGCTCCGAGGAAGACACCGGAGGCACCTGACACCAACCGTGCCTCTAAAGGAAAAGTCCAGGCAGCCTGCAAATCGGAAAATGCAACTGCTGCTTCTGGTTTTCTGAAGTAAGTTTTACAGTAAAAGACCATTCTTACCAGAAAAGGAATGTAAGTGTGCCACACAACGTGGACTTTTTGCAGGCACTGCTGCTGAAAATATATCGCTTTTCTTTACAGAAATCACAGGAGACAAAAAGACGCTTTGCTTGGATCTGCCTTCAAGGAACCCGAGGTTTTAACACCAACACCTGGGCAAACTCACGTTCCAAAATGCAGGCAGAGAGAGCGGTGAGAGCACCGGCTCCACGACGCTTCCCCCTCTTTGTGGAACAGGGAGACGACTCCCCGACTGACGTTGGGCTGTTCTCTTATGGCTGCCACGTGCCACACCATTACTAACACGAGAGATGCACCTAGTTTAATTTTCCAATAGTTATTCCTCAGCTCCACTGCCCATCAGACGAGAGGACAGAATCCCCACTTATTTTTGTTCAACATTTCAGCAGAGATACCTTTTCCCAAAGAAAGCAAAACCAAAAAGGGACTGAAGCCACCCCCAAAGCCTTACCTCTTCACGTCTGTGGGCTAAGGGGACCGAGCAGGGTGAGAAAAGCACAGTAAAAAAGGCACATGTATCAAACCAAATCCCAAAATATTGTGCACGGAAGTCTCTGTACTTCTGCGATCAGCGATGGACTTTGCAGACCCACCCCTGCTGACAATCGCGCAGCTCCCAGAGGTCTGCTGCAACACCGCCCAACCTATTCCCACCTTTTTTTGAACAAAGTACGAGCCGAGATCTTTTGGGATTTCTGGATCTCTTAGGATCTCTGCTACATCCTCTCCCGCCTCCGATTTGACGAGGCGTAGACCGTAAGATCTTGCTCAGGAAAGCTCCTCGGTGCTACAGCTCTGCAAGACGGATGAGAGGGGCGCTGCTTAAAGTCAACGTCCAGATGGCAGAGGTCCAGCTCCAAATCACTGTGACGAGGAGATCGGCTTTATCTGTCCTCGGGGAGCGAGCTCTGCTCTGCTCCACCAACGCAAAACGCCCCAAGGCTTCCTGAGCAACGAGGCACTCCTTCGGGACGCTGCCACGACAGCTAAAAATAATTCTGGAAAAGCCAGAAGCATGAACCTCCCTGTTCAGATCAGGAGATTGAAGGCCACAACCAAACCTGAATCACCAAAATTCAGGTAGAACCAAAGAGGTGCAGCTCTGCTTGGTCTGCCCCAGCTCTGCTGGCTTTGCTTTTATTCAACAGAGGCCGAAGGGAAAGGGTTTTTGAAGGAGAACCCATCCAAAACTGCTCAGAGCATCAGGTCCCGTATTTGGGTTTAGCTGGAGCAACAAAGAACTTTGCTTCCAGCCGTCGGCAGCCCCAGCAGCGTTACAGCCAGGCCCACGGCCAAAGCAGTAGTTTATCAACTTAATGAGACTTTGGAAGAGGATAAAAAATGAGGGAAGAGTATGGGAGAAAATATCCCAACAGCTGATTTCGATTCTGAAGTCTCTGCGGAAGAAAAAGGACCCGGGAACTGGTTTAGAAAAGAAAATGCGTCACCTCCGATTTCTGGAACGTCTTTGCAGACTGCTCATGGAGCGTTCTTGACATTTACAGCTCGCTATAAACAACTGCCTGGATATTCTCTCCCTTGAATCAAAGGAGACAAAACTAAAGAGACAAAAAAAGCAGCATTTGAAGTGTCTAGAAAAACATTCTGAGAGATAAAAATCACAGCAAAAATACACAACTGCATTTTAAACCGCACGCTTTCTTCAAATCACACCTTATCTGGCCAATACATCAGTCACTGATAGAGGCTGAGCACGGAAATTCCAGGAGAAAACTAATTTGAGGAGGGGGATGGATTTCAGAAGAACGATGAGCAGATTTGCCTAACAAGAAGTAAATCTTTACTTGAACCACCATCACGGAGGACAAAACTCCAAGTCCTGGCAAAGGAACTTTCAGCCCTGCCAGCTCTTACAGAAACAGCCCCGTGAAGCAACGCACGGTTGGGGCAGGGAAAACAACCACCAACGTGATTCATCCCGACTGAATCGGATCCCTTTTGCTAAACACACCGAGATCACTCCTCACACTACATTAGGAAAGTACTGACTGGAAGCGTTGGGCTGCCAAGGAGGAAAGCTTGCTCCATCAGTAGATTTCTTTTTTAAATCTCCAGATAAAGACAAATCTTGTAAAATTAGCCTTAATTAGAAATATTTTTACGAACTCAGCAGGGCAGACGCTTGCTCTCTCCTCCACACGAAGCCAGCGAAGGAGCTGGGTTACTGGGTAGTCATGACGGCAAAGACTGCTCAGAGCGGTGACTGGGGCAGGTTTTACTGGATACAGGAATTTGTTCCTGCTTTGCAGTGTTTATCTGAAAATAATCGCTGGGCTTGCTGCCATTTTTCCATCTTTTGTCCTGGTGCAAACACTCGCGGGGCGGCGCAGACGCTTTTTTGGAGTGCACGTTCCCGACTCCTCGCGTCAGCGGAGGGGCTCGAAGCTTTCCAAACTTCTGACACTGCTCTGTTTGGTGCAGGGCGTGCTTTACATCCTCCACGCCCGATCCGCCGCAGGATTTGGAAAGAGGCGTCAAGAAAGGTAAAAAGGAAAAATAGGAATACTACTCCAAAAATCCCCCTGAACCTGTGCAAGCTCAGTTAAGGTGGGTGGCTCCGATTTCACGCGCAGTTTCAGCCCCAGCCTGACCTGCAGCCTGCCGGGTCCATCGGCTTGACGCAAACTCTCCAGCCACGCACTCCCTTTCCGCAGCCCGGCTGCTATATACACACCAGGGGCACGTCAGCTTGCTGCTTGTCCCCCCAAAACCCCCACTTTTCAAGGTATTGCAGTAGCAACTCCTGCATTCCTCCAAATGAACATGAACCTTGAAGCCTGGAAAGCCAGAAGCTGCTTTAAAAACAGCAAATGGCACCTGCTCGCCAGCTTCACACCAAGCTTCGAGCCAGGGCAAAAAGGGCATGAGGGTGAATCCAGTCCCCGGGGATGGACACAGCTGTGGAGGGGTCTTAGGAGAAGCAATGATACTGCTTTTAAGAAAAACTCAAGTAAGAAAGCCACGTGACCCTCTCTATGACTATTTTTATCCTTGAACAAAGAAAAATTTTTAAAAAAAGGAAGGAAAAAAAAAAGCAGCAACACCAGGCACAAAGCAAAAAATTATTTTGATGCATGCATTTCTGGAAAGACCTGCCCCCCCGAAGTCGCTCGCCTGGTTTAAATAAACAATTTTAATGGTATCTAAAGTTCCATCACCTTCAACTCGCGCTGTCCCATGACCAACACCCCCGCTGCTCACCCCCCCGCCCCGGGCCGCAGCCGCACGCTAACGGTGTTATTTCAGGGCTCGCTCTCTCTCTGCAGCGCTTACATAAACGTGCTCTTTAGCAATTTTTGGACTGGAACAAATGTTTGAATCTTTCTGGGATGGAACAGAGATAAACACAGGAAAGCTCATCAGCGCTAAAACCCAGTTCAAGCCCTGATTTAGATTTAAACCAGCACACTCGGACCTGTGTAAGTAACTAATTAAAGACCACTTACTTCCAGTTTATGTCCAGTTGCCTGGGAAGGGATTACAACCTGAAAGGAGGTTGTGGCGAGGTGGGGGCCGGTCTCCTCTCCTCAAGTAATGAGCGGCAAAGGAGGAAACAGCCTCAAGTTGCTCCAGAGGAGGTTTAGATTGGATATGAGGAATTAAACCCACTCACAACTTTTTCAGGTGACAGCGACGTCTGAGCTGCGTGCAAAGATCTAGACTGAGCCCCAGTCCACCTGTTTGTCCCACTTCAAGTGGGAGATGGAACCAGACCGGCTCCAAAAGGTCCCTTTCTCAAGCATTTCTAGATACCGCAGAAGTTTCGAGATGCATCTATGGAACAGTTTGCACTGAGGGAAAAGCCAGAAGTCTACTCTACGGCTGTAAAAGAGCAACATTTTCAGTCAATTTTATAGCCTCACGGGTACGTCCCTTTCCTCTCAAGCAGCGACTGGTGGAACAGTTTGCACTGAGGGAAAAGCCTGAAGTCTACTCTATGGCTGCAAAAGAGCGACAGTCAATTTTAGAATCCAACACAGATTAGCCTCATGGGTACGTCCCTTTCCTCTCAAGCAGCGACTGTGTCGCTCTTCCAATCTACAACTCCTGCAGCATCAGAGGCAGCTGCTTCTCCTCTCTTCTAGAGCTTCTCTGGGGCTCAGTTTTCTTCTAGAAACATTGGGGAAAAAAAGTATCTCGGCAGCAAAGCTCAGGAGTGAAAGATGCCACTTCTCGACTTTGAGGAGACGTGGCTCCAGCCCCGCGCCCGCTAACGGCCGGCAGCACGCGCGTTATTAATTACAGCTCCGTAATGGCTCGTAGGCGGCTAAAAAACATCAGTGTGGGAAGAGACTCGGCACGCTCCACCTTCCCTCCCAGGACACTTTTCTTTGAAGAGTTTAGAAAAAAAACCTCCCCTCCAATGTATATTCTTAGATATGAGAAGAAAATGGGATCACTTGAAGAAGCTTTTTCCATCCAAGCCCATTTTTACTGAAGTCAGCAGAATTTGCTATGCTGTTTATGACACACTTTGCACACTAAGGGTTTTTTTTTTCCCCCCTCTAATTAATATTGCCCACGTCCTGTCGGACAGGATGCACGAGTAGCTCTGGAGGAGCCGTATGATGTTCTGGTTACGTGCCATCATTACAGCTAATTGCCCAAATGATATAAAACCTCCCTGGTATGAGCATTTTACTGACAACACACTTGTTTCTGAAGGATGGCGTGTGGGCGAGAGGGTTACACTTCCAGGTACTCTGAAACAATGTTTAGGACATATAAGCCTGAATATTTTTAAGCAGTTTCAAGTTGGAAAATTTCAATTAATTCCCTTAGCAACACATTGTGAAAATGTTCCACTGGAGGAGAAGTCCCCTCCCCTCCTATTTCTGCTGACTGCTCGTCTCCGTGCCAAAAATATTCAACCTAAAACAAGAAAGGGGGGTGGGGGGGAAAGACTAAAAATAATCAGGAAGGAAATATCCATCAACAAACCTTGCTTCGGGTTGCTAGTCGCGGTGACAGGGGTGCTGGCAGCGAGATGGGTGTTCTCCACAGTCCCATAAACCACAGGGCTGTGCTCGGGGACCTGGCTGGGCAGCTGCTGGGATGTGAAGTACAAAAAAAAGGGTGAGAATGAGCACGTGAACAGAAAAAACAGCGACGTGGAGCGCGAGCGAGCAAGCGGAGAGAGGAGAACAGGGTGGGATAGAAGAGGCGAAAGCAAAGGCAGGGAAAATAAAAGAGAGAAGACACACGGACCGGTTGAATACATTCAGAAAAGTCCCCGGGGAAGGGCAGGAAGAAAAGGCAGCAGGAAGGAGGGAAAGAAAGAGACAGTCACTGTTAACAGCAGGGAGAAAGAGGCAGCGCGGCACAGCTGGGAACACGCTTCATTCGCCGAACGCTTCCTCCGAGAGCCGCAGAAATGCTCCTCGGGTGGTCTGCAACAAGTCCCATCAACACCAAACCACGCCTGGACCTCTCTGTGACCGAAGTGCCTTCTGCACTCGACTCCCCTCTCACCGGATCAGCTATTTCCAACACCTTTCACATTTTTAGTGTTCTGCTTGAACCACAGAAATAACATCTCCACTGAGGGCCCGCTGCTTTTGCAGGAACTTCAAAGTACTTCAGCAATTAAGTGGCCACTGAGGAGCTGCTGGCTACAAAACGGAAGATACAAAAAGCACAGAAATGGCTAAAACCAGGCGGCTCAAGCCTTGGCACAGCAATGCTCATCTGCTGGACATGCCCAGGATTTATTTTTTTTTTACGTTAAGCACTTAATCTCCTGAGAGAAGTGGATGCTTTAGGCTTGTGTTGTCAAAGTTTTGGTTTTCCTTTGAGTCAGTTAAAAAAACTAATCTAAACGGGGAAAAAAATACTAACATCCCCCTCTTATTCTCACTTATTCTTATCCTTATCCTTATCCTTATCCTTATCCTTATTCTTATTCTTATTCTTATTTTCTTATTCTTATTCTTCTTCTATGGCTTCAGTGGCAGCCTCCAGGCACTGATTGAGCATGTTTGTCCTTCTGCGCTTGTGTCATTTCAATAACGAGATCACAGACTCAGATACCAGCCGGTCAACACGAATGAAGTGTCGTTAGAATCTAGAATCGAGCACGCTCCTAAAATACGACTGGGCTAGGAGTCCCTTGGGTGAGATTTCAAGAGGCAGGTGTTTTCTCCTGAAGCTCACGCGGACTGTTCACAGCTTTCAGCAGCTGGGGAAAGGGGAGATAAAAAAGCCCCAACACGTTTCAAGCAAAGTTACTGCTGAACGTTTCAAGTTTGCTGATTTTAGGCTGTTCAAACTTGTAATATCCACAGCTACTCGAACCCAGCCACTGAGCACCGTTATTAAGGTGCTTAATTTCATGGGAGATGTCACACTTCCTCCAAAGAAATGAATTAGAGATGCTGTTGGGACAATAACTTGGAATTTCCTGGCTTAAGTGGGCTTAAATTTTCAGTTATGTTACACAAACTTTTTTTCTGGTAAGCGCTGTTTCAGAGCTCTTCTGTGATTAACAAAAGTGGTTCCAAGTACCTAATCAAAGCGAAGGCTGGATATTAAGCCATGAAGTATTTGCATACCTTACTTAGAGTAGATGATTGGACATCGCTGCTGTGCTCTGCATAGAAATTACAGCTCATAAAAATTCATGCTTATTAACCTCCTCTTGAAAAACATTTATTTTGTCCCGTTTGACTTAATTGTAAGATCTTAAAATAGATTTCAGAGCGCAGAACTGAGCCGGTAAGTGCCTGGATTAGCCACACCACGCAGGAACACAACCTGAAACCCTGCCTGCGTTCAACTCGTCCCCACTTCTAACAGGGAAAGTCACTGAGCACGAAGTAACAGCAAGGAGAGCTCGCTCTATGGTTTTACATCACTAGTACCGCATGGAAAATGCTTGGAAAAGTTTAAATGGTTTGATATGTAACCAGCTCTCGGCTCTCTCCCCTTCCAGCTGGGTCAGCAGATCTTTCTCCGGCAGAAAAACAGCTTTTCCCAGGCGACTCCCGCAGACCTTGCTGCAAAACCACGGCGAGTCGAGAGTTGCTTGAGCACGGCGCTTCGCTGCTGCTCGCCCACGACGGCGACCAGGAGGAGAAAGCAGATGAGCCAAAGCTCATGGTGATGCCTTCACAGGACAAGAGGATTTGATGGAACCAGGGGAACGGCCAAAGCCCTATCGTGTTGGTCTCGGTGGAGGGGAGATCTGCAGACCAGGCTCTTCTTTCATCTCGGTGGTCCCAGTTCCACTTTTACTGGCTCAGCTGCAACCTCCAATTCCAGCACGACGGGTGTCTTGAGGCTTTCCCCTCCACACGGGACAGCCAGCACAAAAACTCTCCAGACACAGAGAGGAAAGTAAGGTTTCCAGCTCAGAAAAGCAGTCTCACCTAAAACCTAGCAAAACCTGGTGATCTTGAAAAAGGAAGAACTTGGAAGAAGAAGAAGTTGTGCCCCAGCCTCAGCCAGGCTCTGACCGAGCCTTCGTGTTTTCTCATCAGGCCCCCAAACTGCGGACGCCAACCTCCAGTAAAGCTGGTCACCTTCCACGGCTTGGGCCAAACCAGTTTCTTCTCCAGGTCCTCAAAAACATTTAAATTTTCACACCATCTCCCCCAAAAGAGAAGGAGAACTAAGACGACATAGGAAGCAACCAGCAGCTGGGAGGAGGACAGGAGCTGCCCTGGGCGTCCCCTCCATCTCTGAGGCTCTGAGGGGAACCAAGGAGACATCACCTCTTTCTGCTGCACGTGGGGAGGAGCGGGCAGAAGAGAGAAATTGTTTCCAAACGGGGGAAGGCAGCCGGTTCCAGTCCCAGCAGTTCATGTCACGGTGGACTTTGGTTCACGTCAGGACTGCTGGTGGGTGAGCGTGAGAGCACTCTCTTGGCCCTGGGTCAAAAAGGACTAGAACAGACCTGGATTTCCAATCGGTTTAATTTCCAGACACGACACATCAACTTCTCAGGTGAACACTGAGACTTCAAAAAGGTCCAATCAAAGGTGTGCGACAAGAAGAGACTTAAGAGCAATGGAAAATGTCAGTTTGGGATATTCAGGCTTTTTCCTACATCAGAAAAATGCATTTTTAAGGTTGAACCTAGAGAGGCCAAATCTGTGATAGATTTATCACAGTTCCGTGATACAGAGCTACAGTCATTGTGGTTACTCTAAAACAACCTTACTAAGGCAGAAAGACATCGGTATGGATGGTGATGCAAGTGAAGATACCCAATGGATGACACACATGATATGGACTTTTCCAGCTACACAAGACTCTCACAGAAACACCCCGCGTCTCACAAACACGTCGGCTCCTCCTTTAACACTTACAAGTCTTTAAAAGCTGTAAAATCTACTGCTGACACAAAACTGCGGATGGGGAACTTGTAGCAGCGCTGCAGCTCCACATTTTACAAGCTCCAGCCTGGTAAAAACTGGGAGGGCAAAAAACCTAAAATCCTTGAAGACTGTGGACAATTTAGGACAATCCAGGTGCTGGAGGCGATGCGTGGTGTGGATGAGGAGACAGGAATTGGCTCTAACACGCCGCAAAGCAAAGCAGCCAGCACGGGAAGAAGGTTACGCGGTCGCTTGATTACCTGAGGTGGAGTCGGTGTGGAAGTGGGTCTCACGATGGGAGGCGTCGGGTTCCTGCTGCCCCCTCCAGACATGATTTCTTCTGTTATATCTTTGCCTCCCTGGTTTGGATCCCGGATTCGGATCTACGGTATCAAACAAAGAATTAATTCAAAGGAGTCTTCCCGTCACACGCTGTCCTTGGGGTTCCTGGAGAGGGGAGCACGGACAGGACAGAGAGCGCTGCACTCGGGGGGAGATGCTCCGGGTTGAGCTGATGCTCTGCAGGAACACTGGAATGTGGTTTGTTTCCATAACTTGCAATTCCTGGCATGTCATTGCTTAATCTCGAAACATAATTTAATCAAAACGCTCATCAGGCCTAAATACGTGCACCCCAGTGGATGACCCTGTAAATTTAAAGCACGGTCTCTACTTCTGGAAAGTAAGTTTACTGCAAGTTAGAAAATTCAGCAGACAGTGTAGCTACAGAACAAAGCTTGCCAATTAGTGGAAAGTGCAAGAATAAAAAAAACCCAACAAACAACAAAGGGCTACATTTCACCCTGATATGAAATTCAGTTCGTTGCCAACCCAGCTGCGGGTAAAGCAGGAAAGCAACTCAGCTCTTTTTGTTTTTCCCTTCCACACTGAGCAAAGTCACACCAACAAAACAGAGGGAATCAACAAAAATACCGAGTGCAGGAAAGGGTAACCATGAGCATAAGCTAAAGTCCTATGAAACTCATCAGCATTTAGGAAACAAATTTGGTGGGGGTTTTTTTTGAGTCTCTCCACAGCCCCAAAATAGGAAGGAAAAAATCTTTTCCAAAACAGAGCGCTCCAGACTGCTCACTCGAATCCTCAGCCGACACTTGAGCCATCCCTGTCTCTGAATACGGGGAGCAGCCGGGGTTAATTGGAAATGCAGAATTTCATCTCCATTATCAGAATGGAAGTTCTCCATAAACCTGAGGACAGTGCTACCACCTGCCTGTCCATCTTCTCAAAAGCTCTTGGCTGAACGCTGCATAAATCACACGCGGAAGTCCCCGTTGCTGCAAACCAGATCGTGATCCTTGCGAGGGCAGGGGGCTCGCTGGAAACCGCGGGGCTTTCTTCGACTGGCCCCACGTATATAAAGTCACCCACTGCAGAAAGGTTTTCTGATTTATTGACTTCAGTGATGTTTGGGTTATGAAGACAAATAAACATCCAAGCAATATTCAGGATGCTGACAAGATGCCGTCGCCTGCTTTTTGAGGGAGTTTTTCTGCTAAAATATTTAATTAAGCACAGCAATAATGACTTAAGACTTGGCATAAATTCCTTCCCTCTTCTCCTGAAGAGTAGTCGATGGCATTAAAATGCATTTTCCCTGCCTGAAAATTTGCAGTACTCAAATACTGAACCAATGGCACATGCGGGTGTACGTACACAAATACGTTTAATTTTTCTTTAATTTCTCTCATTTCTTCAGTTGCGACACCAATAGCACGTCCAGAGAAAAGCATTTTAAAAACCTTTTGTTTTTCTGCTTCAGAGCGCTTGGCTTTGTTGGCATGCAACTGCCCTGACCACAGCGGAGTGTTTCTGAGCATCTCTGCATTTCAAATGGCATCAATGACGCGGCCGTGTCATGGTTTGGACGCTGAAAAGAGACTCCTTGGGACTGAAGAGGACGTTGAAGAGGTGACAAAAGAGTTGCATCACCCTTTGCTGACAGCAGCTACAGAAAAGGCCTTTCTTGCAAGCCCAGCTAATGCATTGTTCAGCTCTTCCAGTTTCCCAAGTCAAGCGTCATCTTACATCATCTTCAAAAAGTCAAAAGACACAGATATTCTGCATTTTGAGATGTGTACTCATCCCATATATTTTCTCCCAGAAAACAGTTCTCTTAATGTTTCCAAACCACTCAACACAGATTATGATAGAGAGTAATTTCCTTTTCAATTGTGTAGAAACAATTCATTCACAGGCACAAATCCACCCCTGACTTCCTCTGTTTAAATTCACCTGGTGTGTCTTTGCTGTTCCTCTCCACCAGCCACCTACAAATGGGTTTAAATTTTGTTAACTGGTCTCTCAAATTCTGACCAGTGAATCAGGAAGAGAGGAAATGTGGTCTCCACACCTCTACCCCCTTTCATAATGTCATGTGTTCAGGTTCTGTCAAGCCTCCAAGTAAGTCCAAAACTTACCATTTTTCTATCTTTTCTGAGGCATAATACTGAACAATTTTTTGGGGGGTCAATTTGAACCAATTCCCAATATTGTCCCCAAATTATTTGAGTTTCTTTGTTCCCACATGGCTCTTTTGGTAAAACTCTAAGCAGCTGAGGATTCCAGGCTGGGGCCAGCAATGTTACTTTCACTTAGATCTGTTACAAAATGAGCCAAAATATTTTCCTTTTTGGTTAGTCATAAACTCGGAGGGTGAAGTCCCTGCAGCAAATTGAATACAAGACACCAACGCAGCATCGTGCAACACTTAAATTACGCCTATGTGGAAAGGTAAGACTTAACCTCTCTGTGAAGATAAAGCTCAGTTTTAAGCTTAAGAGCATTATTAATTTCCTTCAACCTTAGAAGCAGGATGATTCTCAGCAGGGACGTATCAGTCAAGGATGAAAACTTACCGTTTTTTTCTCTCTTTTAGCTGGCGGAGGCTGCTGCTGCTGTGTAGGCACTATAATGGGTGCTGACTGATAGACTGGCTGACTTGGGTAGAAAGGTGTTCCTGCAAAACGACAAGACAGAAACAAGGCAGTGAAAAGTAGAGCTCACCTGGTAATGACCCAAAACCAAGCACACGAAGTAAAACCAGTCCTCTCCTCCTCGCTCTCTTCAAAAACCAGAACTTGTAACACCCAGCTGGTGACCAGCCTGTGTTTTGCTCTGCCTTGCCTCCTCTAAACCAAAGCTGCGACGCCATCAAGGCAAGCAGTTAAGTCACTACTTCAATTTTTATTTTTTTTTTCCCCTCTGTGAACAGCAAATCACAAGCATCCATTTCTGTGAGGCTGATGAAATCACCAAGGCATGAAAAGTCCGTCCTCAGACTCCTCTGACTGACAAACAGGTGGATTTGTGGTTGGGGCTTGGGGTTGGGTTTTTTTTTGCCTTTGTAGTGAAATTCAGTCAAACCATTACAAAGAACAGGCAAGGTCAACTGCAACCTATTTTGAAGCAAAGCCAGAAAATTTAATTACAAGCAACGTTCTCCTCACACTGCCAACACACAAAAAACCCATGACCACGCTTAATATTGCAAAATTACACCACACTGATTACATTCATAATATCCAATATAGCTTCATTATGTTTTTCTTTATGGAATACAACTGGCTCAAAAGGACCGAGTGCTTTAAAAACGTGCCAGACATAAATAAAGGCCGTGCAGCAGAGCTGTCTTCTGTCTGCGGATCAGAGATCAGGTGAACTCGTACGACTGCGCTGGTTTTTTTTCCCTTCTAGGCACGGATGCTAGGTGGACTGCCTGCTTGCACTTGCAGCTGGAGCAACCCGATTGATTCTTCAGCTGAACTAACCACTCAACGGGAACAAAAAGCTCAGAACGGGAGGTCACCACCATCTCGAGCAAACGGTGAAATCCAAGAAAGCAAAGGAACCCAGCCTGGTACAACCTGATTTGCAACTTTAAAGGATGCATTCCTCACGCTGAGGACTGGAAAGCAAAAAGGGGGAGCTCGGCGTGCTCAGAACAAGAACCTTGCTCTGCCGAAACAGCCGGCCGGGAGCTGAAAGCAGAGAGCATCGCACCCAGCTGCTAAAAGCTCAGCCCACTGTGTTCACTCTCAGATGCTGCAATTAAGGTGGACCTAAACAACTTAACTTAAGCTCATTTTGAGCTTCGTGGTAGGCAACGTGCCTTTGGATCCAGCCTCAGGGCACAAAAGCCTCCATCAGCATCCCCACGGCTTGGGAAGTGAGAACACTTCTGCCCCCTCCTTAGAAACAGCGATGAAGCCTCAAGCGCTTCTGACCAACCCTTTGGCCAGGCTGGAGCCTGGAGAACATCAGAGGCCAGGAGCCAGCCTGGGAGCCCCACAGCACATTACATACCTCCCTGTCTAGTTTCCTAGAAACCAGATCTAATTGGACAGCCTGTAACGTGAGCCCTGCCCAAGAGCGAGCTACAGCCTAACTCAAGGAAGGACTCCACCCTCATGAAATACACTTCAAAAAAAAAAATCAAGAGCGAATCCTGAAAAGAAAGGGTAACTTCTGGGAAGGAATATAACTTGGGTGGCAACAAGCCAGGTGCATTTCTCAGTGTGACGCTCTTTGCTCTGCACCCTGCCTTTTGATCCTTCCCACGGTGGCAGCACCCGAGCTTTTCTCTCCCTCCTTCCCATTCATCACTTCAAGGTCTTTCCCAACGCAGCATGAAAACTCGCCGATGTGAAAGAGAGCGACAAACCGCCCAGCTGAGACAGCGAACAGTGCGCCGTCCGTCTTCACAACTTCCGTCTGCTGCAGCATTTTCCTTTATCACCTTCTTTACCGCCTGCGACATGTCCATCAAATCGCGACGACTTCCATGTCGGTGACCAAGCCCCGAGGTTTAAGGGCAAGGCCACGGCGTTATCTACCTGTATTGTCAGTTTAGTTGTCTCCCAACGCCCGGTGAGAGACCAAATATTTCCAGTCCCTGTAGAAATAGCACGGAAGCGACAGGAGGGAAAGGTGGACGAGTACAGGCAAATCTAGAACCATCCTCTTCCTCCAATAAACCTTCTCTGCTTGGGAACTGCTCCGTGAGGGAGGGCATCATCGTCCGCTGATGCTCCAGACGCAGTGACCTAAAACCAAGCTGGGACTGAAAGATCACACACCCTCGGGTAAGAAACCAGGCGTGTTCAGGAGTGGAAAGGAACCAGCAAAGGAACCTTTTCCAAATTACAGAAGCATAAACTGAGAAACAGTACCTAAGCGAGCAGAAAGTAAGAAAGCATACCTGCAACTGCAGGAAAAAATGAGGAATACTCCGTAGTTTCCTCATTCAGATGATCAGATTGAAAGAGTCACTGCAATATTTCTTCTTTTCTAATTTTTCTAGGATAAGCAAACAGGAACTAGTTGCCCTATAACTGCTCTTTCTCCTTTTCCTCAGAAATTGTATAACCAGGTTTGAAGGTTTCATGGCAACTTTTCACAGTAGTCCCAAGAGCCCTCTATACATCAAATAAATAAAAAGGGAAAAAAGGAAATAAAGGAGAAAAAAAAAATAGTCCAGACCTTTAAAAATTATAAGTAGGGCAGCAACTGGGGCTTTTTTCCCCTTTAAAAGGAATCTGTATTTGTGCAGAGCAAACATGTAATTCTGCCAACGGTACAGGGCTGTCATTGCTCAGCCGGGAAGGTAATCGTTCCCTTCTAACATTCTGAAATAACAACAGCTAAAGCCACCTGGAAAGTTGATGGTATCTCTGTCCCCAGCAGATTACAGAATGTGCGTGGGTAGGTAGCAACCGGACTGAATAAAAGGCTGCAAAAAATACTTAAAAAAACTCAACAAACCAACAAACCCATCAACAGGGTGACAACTAGAATCGCCCCGTCGGGTTCCTAAAAGGTTCCCATAAATGAGCAAGGGAAGGTAAATAAAAGAAGTGAGCCAGGTGACTGCAAGACACCTAATTCTCATTCAACTACAGGTTGCAGGAACTGGTTTGTCTTAACTATTAAGATACAGACCCTGCAGAAAGCCTTAGAGGGGACTCTGACGTCAGCGCCATACGTATGGCACACAGCAACACACTAGAAATTATTAAGAAAGAAGATTATTAATAAAAGAGATGATTTGCCAAGAGAAGAGGATGCTGAAGGACAGGCACCTGCTGTTACACGGGGACTGCAAACCACGACCTGAACGAGAGGCAGCCGGGAGGTCCTGGAGGAACCAAGGCCCGGGGAGACGCAGACGGAGCGATGCCCGCACTGGCCACACAGCCTCCAAATTTTTAGGTGCAGTTTTGAAGCTCAGTGCCTGGGGGAGTCCATCGAAGAGACTGAACACCGTGCTCCAAACCACCACGGCTGCCAAGCAACCTCCCAACTCCTTCGGCTCCAGAAAAGGCAAGACTGGGAGTTGCCTGTTTAAAAAACTAATTTCAGCCTGCGCCTGGGTTACAAACCCTTCGACCGGACCGACTTGATCTTGGCGGCGTGAGCCCGGCGAAGGAAACCACACGGCTGGTTCTTTTCCCTCGCTAAGCGCTGAACAAGGACCGCGGGGATACGAAATGTGAACTGTGCGAACGTATTCGGGGCATAGCTCAATGGAAACCAGGGCTGCCAGATGTCTTCACAATACCTTAATAAATAATAATGATTGAGCAGGGAATAACAAATAGCCACCATTCTTGTTCACATGTGATTATGGGTAGCTCCCAGTTGCGGCCTTTCCTTAAGCACTCATGCATACAATGGTCTGTTATTGTGAATTTTTCAGGAGTGAATAATAAGGGCTGTGACACAACCAAATTGAGCAGCTATTTGAAGTTCAAACAAATGCTAATCCATTTCGCTATTATAAATCTTCAGCTTGACAACAGAAAAACACACCCAGAAAACACTTGAGAAGAAACTTCCAAGCAGAACTTACCGTAGGCATTGGGGAATTCTCCAGGACCTGGTCCTGGATAAAAGGGTCCTGGTCCCGGCGGCTGCACTGGGTACTGCTGGGGGGGCCCGACATACGGAGGGCCACTGTGACGATACTGGGAGGGGGGAAAAAAAAGCAACAAAACCCATCAGGAGGAGTTGGGCAACACCATGCTGCTGCACACAGAACCGGTAACCGAGCGCCCCTAGATCAATGCAGACCTGATTATCAAAGTGATTAATTACAGACTCATAAATGCTACTGTCCAAAAACCCAGGAGAGGCAAGCTGTGCCATCTGAAGAGAAGTCAGAGAGGACATGAGAGCTGAAGTGGAAAACAGTCCCTCCCCTGATTTCAGCGGAGGCCCAGGCATAACTGCAGCTCTCTGAAGCCAATTTAGATTCATCTACAGCATTAAACATTTTCCAAGAGCACAGTCTCACTCCGTTGCTGAGGAGCTCAAAAACTAGAAAGGTAACTTATTCCCACTGCCTCCACACGCTGAGGAGCAAACACTTCATGCAGAAGAAAGGCAGAGGCTAAATATGCGACTACCAGCTGAATTTCACTCCCTCTCCCCCGCCTCAAGCTCTGCGGCAGGTCTTGAGAAAATCCAGACAGAGCTGGCGTCGGCTTCGTGGTTCCTTCGGGGCCTGGAGAAGGTGTTTTTACCTGCGGGATACAGTACTGGGGGCCCTGAGGCATCGGGTAGGGCATCGGCAGGTGATTAACCATCATGATGTGCTGGTTGGTTTGATAGACCGCGGTCGGCGTTTGGGCACCAGGACGGATGGAAGGGCTGCTGTTCTGGATGGTGGCTCGCGGAGGCTGTATCTGAGGCCTCTGGAAAAACTAGGGGCAAGGAAGGGAGAGAAGAAGGAGAGAAAACAAAGAACCGGTCAGACCTTCCGGGAAGGAATTTGAAATACGGGTCCAATCGTACAATTACAATACTACTTTCAAAGGGTTGCCACGCATTCAGAAAACCGCAGGGCAATTTCGGTTTGCCTGGAAATAGTGAGAGTGTGCCCCAGTCTTTGGTTTAACAAGGTAGGAAAAAAGCTAAGAAACTTTAAGCTCCAATAACTATTCATTTGTATCTACTGAATTATACAGCCCAGCTTTCAGAGTGAGCCTTAGAAAAAACGATTTTTGTCAAATATATTTTTTATAAGGTGGGTCGACTGCCAAAAAAGCCACTTTATAAATACGCTAGGGAAATAAAAGATCAAGGCAACTGTTCCAATAGATCTCCAGAATAGCTGAAAAAGGCAGATTTTTACCAAGGCCAGAAGGGCCTCACGCTTAGCCTTTAGCCAAACCGAGCCACGTGACTTGTCTCGCCCTCTGCTTTCGGAAAAGTGGCAACCTCTTCCAGGGTGGCACCAGACTCTTCTACCACGCTCGCATGAAGTGATGCCCCACGCAGACGGACCAGGTCCAGGAAACCCAGCGCCCCACCGGTACACGCTCCGTCCTCAACCCTTACGCGCTGGGAAAGGCATCAGCATCCGCGGGACGGAGCGCTCGCGGCACCGGAGGAGCTCGCTCTGGAGTCTGCGCGGTCTTGAAACTCAGTCGGGTAAGACAATGCATCAGACACGAACGCATTCACTACCGGAGTGACGATACAAGTGATAGAGACACTTAGGCCATGCAGAACCAGGAGTGAAAATTACCTGTATGGGTCTGAATCCTCCCTTCAATAACGAAGCAAGAAAGCAGCAGGAAACAGAAAGAAAGCCAATGGAACAGCTTACAGATCAATAGGAAGGAATAGGATATAACATGCACCCTAAATGCACACAATTCCATTCGTCTTTCTATCCCGCTTTGACTAATCTCTGACAGACACAGCAAGGAAAAAAGGACTGAGCTGCTACCAAGGACTCTTCTACCAGAATCCCAAGGTAGGGGTCAGCAATTCTTCTAGAAAAGTTTTATATGGAAGTATAAAAGTTTAAAACAAGAAAAAAAAAAACCAACAACAAATCAAACCAACCAAATCATGATTAACTGCAGGAAATATGATACTACAGAAAGACTTTGTTTACTCTGTTCCTAAAACATCAAACGTTTTTCCTTTCTGGTCTCTTTCAGCGATACAGAGATAGCAGACAAAGCAGAAACCCTCGCTCAAATAATGGATTTGGTCTCCGCTTCTGCACCAAGACTGAAAGGATAAGAAATGCCACATACTTAACCGTTGGGCAAAAAAATAATAGTAATTAGGTCATCATAGATCACATCGAAGACTGCTGATGGATGAAGTGCATTGATGTAAAATAGTCTGTGAGTAACTAAATCATGAGCGGTGAGAAGAGAGTGGTAACCAGGAAGGAATGAAGGGATGAGCTGGGCTTATCTGCCTCGGCGTTCGGGAGGAATGGCGTAGGGTGGAGGGAAGCTGCGGTGCCCCAACACTCGACACGATAGTGACCTTAAAATAGTCATTCTGGTGCTGCTGAAGACTTCACAACACCCAAGTTGTTCCCCACAGCCACGGATGACTCAGAAACCCAGATTCCATTAAGATGAGCACATCAATCCAGACACCATTAAGATGAGTCTGGATGAAGAACTGTGAGCGGCACACTCCATGCATGACCCGAACCAGGGGGCAGCTGTTCGGGGAGAAACGTTTGGTAGCGCAGGTGCAGAAAGAAAACCAGAAGAGCAACACGTTACCACGCTCCCGCATTAAGATAAACCCCGTGGCTGTCTCGACATGGGGGAAAGGCACAAGTGTTGCATGAACCAAGGGCAGACACTGAATTTTTGGGGAGAATAACTAGAGCCTGCAAGTTTTCAATATCCAAAGATACCAGAAAGTGGGAAGGTCCTTTCTTCTTTCCCTGCAAATCACCGGATAATTACTGCTCCTAACCTGGTAGCAGGTTACAGCAGGAGTCTCCCCAGAGCAGGGTGGGGGGGAAAAGCCAACAGCCACCACAATTCTGTATCCACGCAGAGCGAAAACGGGCTGGAGGTTGCAGCAAAGCTCATATCTCTCCTGCCGCTAACTGCATCCCCAGGGCAGCACAGCAAAGCCTTGAGAGCACGAGACAGGGGTCCTCCCCCGGTGTGAGCCACCCTGCTCCTCAAGTTTCTGCTGCCCCTACAAAACCTGCTAATAACGTCACCGAAACCATCAAGGCAAAACTTACACTGGCAACTCCTGGGTTTGTGGACAGCTTCTCCTTTCTGTCACTAATTGGTGCCCTAAAGATCCCGAGGTGCTATCTCTCGGGGTGACACGCTGAAGAAACTCCATCTCTCTAATTTCTGAAGGAATTAAAGCACACTCGGTCCACCCAAACGGGTTGTGTGTTGCAGGAGTTTGTGCTTCCATCAAGTAGTAAACGTCGCCAGGGCAGTGCTAAGCAATTCTACAGCAGAAGGAGGACCACCAGCGAAGAAACTCAATGTTAAAAAAAACCCCAAGGTCTCAAAAACACTCTTATACAGCCTGCACCATCACCGAGGTAGCTCCAGTCCGGACATGGAGAAAAAAAGAGGATTTCATTACTACAAGGAAGATGGAGACAGTGAGAAGAAAAGCAGATCTGTTATTTTCAGCACTGGAAGCTTTTGCAAGTTCCAATCAAGTATCTCTCTGGCAGAGTCTGAACTGCTTCCAGCCACTCTGCTTCCTGAAAGTAAAACTAAAATTCTCAGGAAAATCTAGTTCGCTCGGGGCACCGTGCATCTGATCTGTAGGTTGGTTTTACCGTTCAAAACAAGTTTCATCTGGTTGGTGAACTGTTTTATGCTTCATCCTTGTTCCTGTCCCTCCAAAGCTAAGCTTGGCAATACCCAAAGTCATTCTTTGAAACGTTTAACTATTCTGACTCGATTTGCTAAAGAATTCATCTCGCTAGGTCAAACGGATGCCTGCACAGAAAACATTTTCAAGTAATGCTAATGATATCCCAGGGGAGAACACCAGGAGATGAAAATCTAAGATATTTTGTCTCTGTTTCTTCTAATAAGTGCAGGGTTTGGAGTGGAGCACGTACAGGATCTGCTCGGGACCAGAAGGAAGGTACTCCGGGCCCCAGCAAGGCTTCCCACAGACACCCTGCGTTACACCAACCCTTCCCTGGCTACTTCCTTCCAAAATTAAGTCCTGCTACATCCAGTGGCGGTCAAACGAGTGCGAAACACGCTCCACGGTTGTTCAGCAACCGGTGAGGACCTGAGCCGTGGTCCTCAAGTCAGAGTCTCACCCTTTATCTGTTACCTCCCTCCGATGCACTTAGAGAAAAGCACAACTCAAACCCTCTCAGAGAGCACTTTGGTCGGCTGCCTCAAGCTCGGCTCGTTTAGCCTGCTCATTTAATAAGCTCTCATCATCTCAGCAGCCCCTCCCTCATTTACCTGCTCAGGGAAGCCTTTCGGGAAAAACAAAAAAAAAAAGCCGAATTGCGCACATGCTCTAGACAGGGCTTCCCCAGTTACTGCCCAACCCTGCAGCTCCCAGTAACTCCCTACCTCAACTGGAAATAGCTTCTGTGGTTTATCTACAGATCGCTCTGCCCCGGTGGTTTCAGCTCCTCCTTTATATAAATCAAACCTTCTCCTTGGCGCTGAAGTGTCAGGGCTGGAGCCCAGCAAGGCTGGATCACGCCTTGCTCCACCACGCCGCTCCCCCTTGCTCAGCATTCCCGTGCTAATCCCAGTTTCTAGCTTTGTACTCATTTGCTGCAGACACATACCTGCTAATTGTGCCAGAGCAATTAACACTAATATTAAGGAAATCCACTACTAAGCTTCTGTGCTACCCCTCTCAGCACTCCCCTGCAGTTCACTACTCAATCACTCCTTACATATACACGTCCTGATATCCTTTTATTAACCATCATCTTCTCCACCTTAATTTTCTTTCTGTGTGACCCCGTGTCAAAAGTCTGATGAAGGCCAGCCAGGTAAGAAACTGCCATCGAGAAACATCAATGATCAAAGAAAGCACTGACCTCCTTCTGAAAGCTACCAATGCATTTTAATTGATTTTCTATTTACTCTGTAGATTTCTAAGCCATCAATTCCAGCGAAATGTCTGAGGAGCACTCCTTCCCTATGCTAAAAGCTTCACCGAAAAATAAAATTGTGGTAAGAGGACTGAAAACAACCTCTGCGAAGCTTCGCCCATCAAACACAACGTGGACAGACATCTGGTTTTTTTCCTAATCACAGAATGTCTTAGGTCAGAAGGGACCTTAGAGATCATCTCATCCAACCCCCTGCCATGGGCAGGGACGCCCTTAACTAGCCCAGGTTGCTCAAGGCTTCCACCAACCCGCCACTTAGAGCGTGCACCTCCATATGGATTTCTGGCCTTGAACATCTCCAGGGATCCACAGCCTCTCTGGGCAACCTATTCCAGAGTCTTGCTGCCCTTGGACTGAAGAATTTCTTCCGAAGGTCCAATCTGAACCCACTCTTCTTCAGTTTAAATCCGATCAAGTTTAAATTGGCTCAAGGCTGGCAGCTGCGATGGGTTCACGAAGCCCCGCAAAGGTTGCGGAGAAAAGACGCAAAAGGAAAGTTCAACAAGTTGTGGCCAACACTACAGAATCGCATCGCACACCCAGGCTCCTCGCTTCAGTTAAGCTTCTCATAGCCCCAGGCAGCCCCCTCGTTGGTTTTTCTGTCTGGTCACACCGAGAAGGCTGCCAGGACAACCTCACCCCGACCGGGCAGAGGACGAGAAGGCACCTCCCACTCAACGCAGCAGGAACCGTGCCCACTCACAGACG